ATATGTGTCTTACACAAATTATTGTTTTAATATAATTTTATTGTATTACATATCATATTAATAACAATTAGTTGTATAAGTCTATATTTAATATGTCTTCCATCCCAGACTAAAAGCTCTCTGGTCTAGTGGGAAGGAGTAGAGAGGAATTTATGCCCAGCATGCAACACATATTGCTTCATAAATAATTGCTGATTAAAGGAACACACGCACGGCTACAGCCCTTCCTTCTCAAGTGTAGGCTGTCTTCCTTGGCTTTGAAGCTCTGAACTATCCTATAGCTCCTAAGTGCTTTACAGCTTTTGCAGTTCCTTCCTATATTCTCATTTGACCCTCAGAGCAATCCTACAATTGTGCCATGATTAACCTGGGGAGCAGAGAAGACTCGCCTGAAGTCACCTCATAGCTTGTGAGTGACAGCGCCAACACAAGAACCCGGGTCTTCTGACTCCCCAGTCCAGTTTACTTCCTACTGTGACATTCTTCTCTCTGTATCTAGAAAGCTTAAAAGCAGCTTCTGAAAGCCTCAAGTTTAATTTCCATATTACAGTTTTAAAAATCATTGTAAAATGTCAGAACCGAAGAAATTGAAATTGAAAAGTATTTAGAAAACACAACTATAAAGAAAATACCACTAAATGCTATAGACTCAAAATGGAAAAAATTCAAAATATTGTGTCCCTATTAGCTCTGAAAGAAACGAATGCAGAAAGCAAGCAAAATACAGCTCCAGTTCCTTCCCCGGGCATTCACTGATGCAGAGCCAGGCTACCACAGCCTGCTTCTCCAGAAATCCAAAAGGTCCCAGGCAGTAAGCGCAATCTCCCCTGGATCCTCTCACATCTGAGATACCTATGACTCCCTTGGAGACAGCACTCATGTATGACAGCCAGCAAGGATGGCCAGACTTTCCGCTCTATGTTTCTCATAAGGAAAGGAAGGAATGTTTGAAAAAACAAGAGAAGGATCAGTATTTATGGTCTAGGATATAATTTTATATACTTCAAAGACTTTTCCTATAGTCAATTCATTCCACATAAAACTACTTTTATGTATCTGCTATGTCCCAGATTCATTATAAACTCTACGGGGGCTTTGCCTTGTGGTATCCTTGGCGTTAAATGCTATTTTAGACATTAGTGATACAAAAGTGAATAAGCCTGCCCATAAGGCGGCTACCAAAACAAACACAAGTTACTAAACATAAAGCAATATAAAAATGACATAAATGCAGGCATGAAGTGTTATGATAGTAAAGAAACGTAAATAGAGTTAGGCATGTTGAAAAAGGCTTCAGGAAGAGTTGAACCTGGAAAGAATCATGGGATTCAGTAAGGCAGAAGGAAACAATGTGTGCAAAAATACAGAGGCATGAACAATGCACTAGTGTGGCAGGAAAGCTGGGTTTCATCAGCACAAGAGGCTCCCTGATGAGGAATGACAGGAGACAAAGCTGGAAAAGGAATTTGGAGCCACAGACTACAAAGGTCCTTAAACATAATGCTAAATCGGGCTCAATAAAAGAAACTGGACTTTATCAGGTAGGTATCATTCAATTTTTTTTTTTTTT